CATCATCGACATCATCATCATCATCATCCTCATCATCATGATCAAAATCATCATCATCATCATCAGCATCAGCATCAACATCATCATCATCATCACCATCATCACCATCATCACCATCATCGACATCATCACCATCACCATCACCATCACCATCACCATCATCATCATCATCATCATCATCATCATCATCATCATCATCATCATCATCGGGACACCGCGGAACACCGGCGGGACACCGGCGGGACACAGCGGACACCGTACGCCGGTCCGGAATCATTTGGTCTGGCCGCGCCTCAGCGGGAGGCGGGACACTGCGGCCCACTGGACGCCGGTCCGGAATCATTTGGTCCGGCCGCGCCTCAGCCGGAGGCGGGACACCGGCGGGACACCGCGGGCCACCAGACGCCGGTCCGGAATCATTTGGTCCGGCCGCGCCTCATTTGGTCCGGCCGCGCATCATTTGGCACAGGAGACTTTCTTCTCGCCCGCCCACGCAGCTTCGCCTCGCCCGCACGCACGGCACGCTCGAACACGAAACCGAAATCGATTTCCCGGTGGGGGGGTTCTCCGTTCCACTTCGATGTCACCCCCTCACCTCCGACCCGAAAAGTACTCAAAAGGTGCCCGAATTTACCCCAAAAGTACTCCCCAGACTATTTTTTTTTTTACTATTTTTGAATATTCCCCCTTTTGGAGGGACAGGCCCGACTTAACGCTACCAGAAGGAGCGCCAGATAAGGAACGAAGAGGCTTTGGGGCCGCGGCGAACCTCGGCCACCAACCGGGGTTCCCCGACCTGGGCCTCCAAGGAACGGCCCGAGAACCCGAGCCCCTCCGAGCGGGTTGACTGTCGAGGGGGGGCGGGGCGTCTTCGCGGAAGGGCGCTCCTCAGCAAGGCGGCGGCCCTGCATCTACAGGCAGGGCCCGCGCCTGCGGGGCAGCAAGGGTGCCTCCTGGCCGTCGCTCGGACGTCCATTCCCTGTGTGTTTTGTTTGGTTTCGTGCGTGGTTTTTTCGCCAAATGATCAAGGATGCTCCTCGATGGTCCTCGCCGAAGGAAAAATGCACACGTCCGAGCGATGCCAAGCCTCTGAGGATCCTTCCCCCCTCCCCCTGCCCCCTCTTGTGCCTGGCCGACGGCAGCAGATGCACCACGTCAAGACGCGCGCGCGCGTGCGCGCCCTTAAGGCTCGACGCCTCCGGTCCGTGCAGGGCCCTCCTGGGGGCCTCCAGGGCCTCCGGCATGCCCGGGCGAGTGCGCGTCTGAGGTCTCCCTGGTACGCAGCCCTGCAGGGAGCAGCATGGACACGAGGAGGAAGAGGAGGAGGAGGAGGAAGGAGGAAGAGGAGAAGGAGGAGGAGGAAGAGGAGGAGAAGGAGGAGGAGGAGCATGGACACGAGGAGGAGGAGGAGGAGGAGAGGGGAGGAGAGGAGGAGGAGGGAGAGGAGGAGGGAGGAGGAGGAGGAGGAGGGAGGAGGAGGAGAGAGGGAGGAGGGGAGGAGGAGAGAGAAGAAGGAGGAGGAGGGAGGAGGATGAGGAGGAGGAAAAACAACATAACCAGAAGTCGGCGGGGGGGAGAAGGGAGGCCCGGGGGCCAGGAGGATTGGGAGGGAGAGGGAGGAAAACAGGAGGGGAGGGGGATATGGGGACGAAAGGCGGTGGATGGCCACGGGGAGGGTGAGGAGGGGAAGAAGGAGCAGGTGGAGGATAAGGTAGAGGAGGAGGGACGAGTAAGGAGGAGGAGGAGGAGGAGGAGGAGGAGGAGGAAGAGGAGGAGCGAGCTGGGCGGACGGGTGAGGAAGAGGATACCGCAGCGGGGGAGAAGGAAGGGAAAAAAAGGAGAGGAGCAGAAGGAGGACCACGAGGAGAGAGGTGGTCCACGAAAAGGAGGAAGGGAGCGCTCCGCGATACTCTGCTCGAGCCGCAGGATGTCGCCGTGCCTGGCGGATGCCCCCCCCCCCATATAGCGCCGTACCTCCTCCTCCTCCTCCTGGGCCTCCTGTCCCTGCCTCATCCCCCCTTTGGGGGGAGCGGGTCCCGAGGGAAACGAGTCCTGGAGCCTGGAGCCTTCCCCCCCATGCAGGACGAGGTCTTCCTCCCCAGTCGTTCTCCGACAGCCCCGGGGCCCGTGGAGAGGCCCCGGGGGAGAAACACCTCGGGACCCGCTTCCCCCATGGCGGGGTGGTGTCAGGCGTGTCCCTGGTCCAATCTGTCCCCGAGGATTTCCCCCAAAGCAGGGCCCCCCACTGCCTCCAGACTACCAGGCCACGTGGACCAGGGTGCCCCCAGGGGCTCCAAAATGGAACGAGCAGCTGGGGGTATAACCAGCCTCGAACTTGTCCCTATCCCTAGGATTGACAAGCCTAACAGCGAGGACAATCTTAGGGATGCGCCCTCCAATACTGGGGGAACTCTTAAGATCGGCATCAAGAGGAGGCGATGCCACTCATCGAGATAGGGATCTGCTCCAGGCTGGTGAGGGTACCTTGGGCCAGGGACATCCTGAACAATTCCCGATCTCGCCCTGCTCCTACCCCTCCCTCCGTCAGGACGAGGACAAACAAAGGGGCCCAAACACAAATACCAATATCCGCTAGATTGTCCTATATTTCCTGGGTGGTAGTCTTCCTCCCCACCTCCCATATTTTCCAATATTTTCCACGGAGTCGACGATTGACTGTGTCTGTGTGTGTGTGTTCTTTCCCCTCCTGAACAAACTCTGATGATGATACTCTGATGAGGGAGGATACACACATGACAGGATTCCCAATCTTGCTTCCCGTATTTTCTGGGTTTCTGTCTTCCCCCCCCCCACTTCCCATATGTTCCCATATCTTCCTGGGGATCGACGATTCATTGTGTCTCTGTGTGTGTGTTCTTTCCCTCCTGAGCAGCGTGCTCTCGGACCTCCGGGCCCGGGACAGCGGTCTACAGTCGGACTTGGTCTTGGACAGGACACGCGAGAGGACACAAGACCCTTCCGAGGAGCCTTATGCTCCTCCTCCTCCTCCTCCTCCTCCTCCTCCTCCTCCTCTCCCTCCTCCCTCCTCCCTCCTCCCTCCTCCCTCCTCCTCCTCCTCCTCCTCCTCCTCCTACTCCTCCTCCTCCGAACGGGGGTAGCGCAGTGCGCACGACCAGAGGCGCCCTTCTGGCAACCGCCGACGGGGAGGAGAATCGAGGAAAGAGAACTATGCACATACACCGATTCTGGCCAGGCCCAACCCTGAGCCCAGGATCGGAGCATACGCCCTCTTACCTTGGCCAGGAAGGTATATGCACCGACCCTGGGTCAAGGATGGGCGTTGTCAGGACTTCCGTCGGGCGTGTCCCCCTACAGGGGGATTTTGGACGAGACATCAAAAATACTCCAAAAATGCTCCAAAGATGCCCAAAGGTATTCAAAAAACAGTCGCAATATCATTTTTAAAACTATTTCTGAATATCCCCCCAGGCCCGACTTAACACAAGACCCTTCCGAGGGCCACATTGCCACAGGAATGTAAGAGGCATGGGTCGCGAGACACAAGACACAAGAGCACCCTTGATTTGGCAGGGTCGACATACTAATCCGGGCCTGGGCCCCGTCCGATTTCGGGAGCCTTGAGACGGGGGTCAATGCAAACAGGGGTCAGCCAAAGCGTTGGATCTTGCAGGATCCTGCAGGGACAGGCTCGCATTGACCCGGGTTGGGAAGCAGGACCCTGCAGGATGTTGCGTGATCCTTCGCATCGACCCAGGCTCAGGTGCAGGATCTTGCAGGGTCTGATTTACCCGGGTCAGAAGATCCCCGACGATTCTGGGTGGCGGGCCCCAGGAATTAACGGGCGAAGAACGGTATAAAATTAACTTTTTCGCCGTCGGGGACACCTGCCCCAGGGCGGCTGGAAAGTTTATACCCTTACGGTGGCACCGTAGGGGTATAAACTTTCCAGCCGCCCAGGGGCAGGTGTCCCCGACGGCGGAAAGTTTATTTTATACTGGTCTTCGCTCGCTGAAGGAACGCTGGGAGCCTGTTGTTTGTGGATTCGGGCAAGTTTGCTTGCACGGCCGGGGGGGGGGCTGAGCATGAAGCAAGCCGAAAACAGCTCGGCGTGCGGACATCACGCAGGTCGAAGGGCACCTGCTCGCTCGCGTTCCATTGAAAGAGGGGCGAGGGGGGGGGAGGGAGGGGGGCGAACGCCATGCAAGCAAACTTGGCTGGATCTGAAGACATGCAGCAGGAGGAGGAGGAGGAGGAGGAGGAGGAGGAGGAGGAGGAGGAGGAGGGGAGGGGGAGGGGGAGGAGGAGGAGGAGGAGGAGGAGGAGGAGGAGGAGGAGGAGGAGGAGGAGGAGGAGGAGGAGAGGAGGAGGAGGAGGAGGAGGAGGAGGAGGAAGAAGGGGGATGGCCGGGGAGGCCCGGGGCCGCGAGCAGCGGCACGGCCGGGGCGGCCGCAAGGGCGGAGCCCCCGGGGGCCCCCGAGGCGAGGCTCTCCCGGGCGGGCAGGGTCCGCCGCCCTTTCGGGCGCCAGCGCCGGGTCGTGTTTGCCGGGACCCGCTGCCCTCCCTTCGCCCTCCCTCGCCTCCCGCTGCCTCCTGCCGCGCTCGTCCCACACCCTGCCTCGTCCATTCGCCTGCCTTCCGCCCCTTCCTGTCCCCCTCCCTCCCGGGTCCTCTCGTCTCCCTCTTCCTGCCTCCGTTCTGCTCCCTCCGCGCTCTCCCCCTCCTCCGCCCCCCTTCTCTTCCGTCGAACTAATCCTCATCTCTCTCTCTCTCTCTCTTTCTCTCTCTCTCTCTCCCCCTCTCTCTATATATATATATATATATATGTATCTCTCTCTCTCTCTCTCTCTTTCTCCATCCATCCCTATCTCCGCACTGTGGGAACTGACAAGTTATCACATCGCTACGCCCCGGACCTCTTCCATAATGCATTATGACCTGGATTTGGAGACAAATCCTGCCATACGACGAGGGCCCCCCAGGAAGCCCAAGAATTAAGTCGGGCGTGTCCCCCTACAAGGGAATCTTCGACGAAAATTAAAAGATGCTCAAACGATACTCCAAATATGCATAACAAATACTCAAAAAATAGTCCCCAGACTATTTTATGATTAGTTTTGAATAGTCTCCCTGTAGAGGGACAGGCCCGACTTCAGGCCATCCGCCTGCCTCCCCGACGCATCACGTACCTTTTCGCCCGAGTCGATCGCCCGCTGCAGAGCAAACGCTGCTTCGTTACTCCGCTCCCCGCTTGACGTGGACCTGCTCGCGACTCCCCAGATGCAGCAGCGCCCGAAAGGAAAGAGGAAATACTTTAGAGGGGGGAGGGTGAAGAGGGAAGGCGAGGAGGGGGAGAGGGGAGAGGGCGCAGGAAACTGAGGGGAGAGGAGGAGGAGGAAGAGCATGATGAGGCAATAGCTTCCCATATCCTTGCAGCTGCAGTGGAACACTCCATGGGCGCCCCGTGGAAACTCGCTGACATCCATACCATGCCCTCACCAGTTCTCTTCCCACCCATCATCCTTCCTCTCACTTCGCATCCTGATCTACATTCCCTCTTCTTCGCTCCTCCTGCAACCTGCAGGTGCCCTTCCACTAGGACAGATCATGGCTGCTTCCACCTGCTCAAATTGTCGGCCGTGAAAGAAGCAATAGCTTGGAGGCAAACTCGCGCTTGTCTCGGATCCGCCGAACTTCGTCAAGGATAGACGCGTGCGCCCCAGCCATCCTCTCCATGATGAGCTGCGCGGAAGTCCCTCCATCCTGGAGGTGAAGCAGGGGGGGAGAGGGCGGAGGGTGAGGGCAAACGAGGGGGAGGAACAATGAGGGAGGTAGCTAAGGGAAACATGTCAGAGAAATAGAGGGAACAAGCCCATGCGTCGAAAAAAACGGGCATCAAAGGTTGCATGGGGAACTGTGCTGAATGGTAATTAATCTCTGACGCCGTGAAAACCTATTCATCACAAAACTCAACAACCCAATATCCATGCAATAACGCCTGAGCCTGGGGAAGCCAAAGGGTACCGATACCGCTACTCCCCAGATCTCTCCCGGGTTGCGTTCTGACCAGGATTTCGAAGCGAATCCACCGGTGGCGACGAAGGCCTTCCAGGAGGCCCAAGAAGGGGAAACCGGGTCGAGGGTAGCGGTACGGGTACATTCTCCTCTGAGGGTCTGACGCGTCCTTCGGAATGCTCGGCCTCTTGCTCGCAGCGCCTGAGTCTCACGCGGAGATCCTCGCGGCGCCTGCGGGCCATCGACCGAACGCCTCCGGGCCCCACTCTTGGCCACGCCAGCAGCCGACTAGATTCACTTGCGCAAAGGAGGAGGAGGAGGAGGAGGAAGAGGAGGAGCGGGAGAAGGAGGAGGAGGAGGAGGAGGAGGAGGAGGAGGAGGGGTGTAGCAAGTCCACTCGTGCAGCGATTGTTCCTAGCGCCGCGGTCGCCAACTTCTGAAGAAGAGCGCCAGGCGGCGGGGCCGAAACCAGCTGCGTGCAGCAGACTTCGTGTTCCCCCCCCCCCCTCCCTTTCCCTCTCCTCTTCCCTACCCCCTTCCATCTCCCTCCCTCTCCTTCTTTTCCCCCCCCTCCCCCCTTTTCCTCTAATTACCTCTTCCTCTGCCCCACATTTTGCTCTCCCCCCCCTTTCCCTCTCCCCGCCCCCCTTTCCCTCCCCCCCTGTTCCCTATCCCCCCTCTCTGCCCGACCCGACTCCTTCACTCTCCACCAATGCCAGGAGAGCCCAGAATCGAATCGTTAAGTCGGATCGGCGATCGACATGAATCGGATCGGCGGAAATCGGCAGCCGAGTCGGAAAAAGTCGAGTCAGCAAAGATCGGCAGGCTAGCATGCCTCCATTGAGAAATCGGAGCCCGAATCGGAATCGGAAAGCGAATCGACTAACACCGGAAGCCATCGAATTCGAATCGAATCGGAAGAGTCGTAATGAGCCCTGCAGTGCGCGGGGAGCTCGTCGGTCCAGAGCAACCGGCCATGTGGGCTGCGCTGTCACCTTGCCATCGCTCGGACGTCTACTCCCTGTGCTTTTTCGGCTTCGTGCGAGGCTTTTCCGCCAAATGATCAAGGATGCCCCTCGATGGTCCCCGCCAGAGGAAAAGTGCACACGTCCGAGCGATGCCAAGGGATCGGCGACACGCCGCCGATAGAGGCTGGCGGCAGGCTCCCGGTGTCAAGACCGCAGTCCTGGGCGGGGGGGGTGGTCGGGCCCCTGACGGCGAGGAGAGGGCGTCTGGGAGTCGAGGCGTCCCCGCCAGATCTGGGCATCGCTCGGACGTCCATTCCCGGTGCTTTTGTTCGGTGTCGTGCGTACTCGGCATCCGAATCCTCGAGTGGCAGCCCACGCGTGCGCCCGGGCAGTCTGGGCCCCTGGGGGCGCGACCCCGTGTATGATGCGCGGTCGCACGGCCACGCTCCGCGCGGGGCGTCCGCGAAAGAAGGCTCCGTATCCACGGGGTCGCGGCCCAGGGCAGGGCTGGACCTAGGCGTTGTTGCTCGTTCTGCTTTCGTTTTGTTGCTCGTTTTGCTCTACAGTCGAGGCGTTGACCTAAGGAACCCCAAATAAGGAACGAGGCCCCTATTTTCGTATCGAAAACCTAAGGCAAATCCGAGGCAAGCTGCGAAACAATTAAGGAACACGGAGCCCCTCCCCAACGAAAGGGGTTCCTTCTTCAGGGTCCCGACTGTACGTGTTTTCGCAGGGCAGTTTCATAGTCGTCCAAGGCCGTGTATGAACGCCAACTCTTGGGGAAACGCAAAGATAGGAGAGGAGGAGCGAGGGGCAACATCAAGGGGGGACCGGCTTGAGAGGGGGGGGGGATACAAGGACTCCCAACTTCGCGCTCTGCGCTGCGCGCAGCGCGAAGTGCGAACCACTTCGCGCCCTTGCGCCGCCTCCCAGGGGAGAAGAGGAGGAGGAATCGGAGCTGAAGCCCTCGAGGGCACCCTTGGGGAATATTGACTCGGGATCGGCGACACATCGCCGATACAGTCGAGGCGTTGACCTAAGGAACCCTAAATAAGGAACGAGGCCCCTCTGTTCCATAAGTGCAACCTCGATCTCCTAGGGAAAACCTCAGGAAAACCCGAGGCAAACTTTGAAACAATCAAGGAACACCGAGCCCCTCCCCAACGAAAAGGGTTCCTTCTGCAGCGCCCCGACTGTAGGTTGGCGGCAGGCTCCCGGTTTCAAAACCGCAAAGTCCTGGGCGGGGTGGGTGGTCGGGCCCCATATCGGCGATGAGAGGGCGTTTGGGAGTCGATGCGTCCTCCTCCTCCTCCTCCTCCTCCTCCTCCTCCTCCTCCCTCGCCCCTGAACGAGGAAGGCCAGATCTGGCCATCGCTCGGACGTCCGTTCCCTGTGTTTTTTTTTCGGTTTTGTGCGTGGTTTTTTCGCCAAATGATCAAGGATGTTCCTCGATGGTCTTCGCCGAAGGAAAAGATGCACACGTCCGAGCGATGCCAAGTGGTCCTACCCTCCCCGAGCGTTGCCCCTGAACGAGGGAGACGACAAGCCTTCCACAGGCACAACCCAGGAGTGCGCACGCGGCAGCCCTTGCAGCGCGGGCGCCCGCGGGTCCTGGATCAGCTGCTGCACCTCATCCTCGCTGGCGTCTGGCATGAGCAGCATCATCTCCCGCTGCGACCGCTGCTCCAAGACCTGTCCCTGTTCCTCTCCCTCCTCGCCCTCCTCTCTCTTTTTGTGGCGGTGGACAAACCTCCCTTTAGTAAACTTCCCCTTAGTGCAAACGGCCTGGGGCCGAAACTGACGGACCTGGACCCGCAAAAAAGACGGCCGCGACGCCCTCTCGCGAACCGAAAAGGGCCAATTCCTTAATCGACGTGTCAGGGTAGGAGGTCTATCAGCCTCCGACTCTTCCTTTTTCCTCTGCTCCTCATCCTTGCTGGCCGGCCTAGCGCGCTAGGCTCCCTCCTCCTCCTCGTCTTTTTGTTCGGCCTTTCCCTCGGGCCGCCCGGGCTCCGGCTGGCCTCCCCGGTGCCCCTGCCTTCGCCTGGTCTGTGCTCGAGGACTGGGGGGGTCCCACGCCGCTGTGGGGTGGTGGCCGCGCTGCAAACATTTGGCCCCGCCCAGGGCTAGGACCAGGTTGCTCCCATAGTACTTAGAGACCACATCCCAAAAGTAAATTCGAGCATCCAGAACAGTGTCGAAAGAGTGTCGAAAGAGTGTCTCCCAGGGCCCGACACGTGAAAGCCCTCAAGTGTTGGGGTGTTTCCTGGGTGCTCGAAATTCATTCTGGTGATCAAGGCTAAAGTAGGTTGGAACATCATGAGGCTAGGAAGGGACGCGTGGATAATTTGTGCTTCCTTAAGTTTAATGTGGTGGCCCGCGTGCCGAGCAACGCCAGATCGCATCGACTTCGCTTTTCGATGAAAAAAGGCGCGCGAAATCTACCGCGGACGCGAGCAAGGGAAACCAGCCCATGGAATCCTTCAAAACTAGAGCCGCGTTCCGCTTGCACTCCAAAGGGAAAACAAACCAACAAATCATCAGCCAACTGGAAAGTTCAACTGTATTGCAGCGCGGGCAGTTGTAATTACATTTAGCGAAGGCAGCGGACTGCTAGCCGTCTGATGGAGCAGAGCCAGGGGCTACAGAAGTAAAGCTGCCAACTAGAAGTCACGGTAGAAGGGCAATACGAAAGAAGGTCACTGTGAGTCTGGACAAATGTCTCCAGAAAGAGGACTGCCTGCCAATACGCCGCTTGTTGTTCTGAACCGGACTGGCTCACGCAATCTCGACGGAAACGCCCAGCCGCCAACAAAAAAACCCGGACCTGGTGAATTCTTGACGCCTCGCGTATCCCCACCAGCCCATCCTAAAACAATCACCAGGCGAGCTGGCCTGATCAGGGGTGCGTAGTAGCAGCATGCGGGAGAGTAGTGGGCCGCATCCGTCTTCGCGAATTCGTGGGAGGAGGAAGAAGCAAACTAGGAGAGAAGACGGAGGATGCCGAAGAGGAGCCTGAGCAGAAGGATGAAGAGAAGGAGTGACGTGGGCAGAAGGAACAAAAACGAAACGTGCCAGAGCATGAAGAGGTCGGACGAGGGACGAGGATATTGAGGGATGTAGGAGGAGAACAGTACGTGGTGCCAAGGGAATTACCAGCCTGGAACATATCCCTATCCCTATGCTGGGCACCTCCTCATCACGATGCCAATCCTAGGGATTCCCTCTTTTTTCTTGAGGGCGAACCCCTAAGATTGCCATCGCCTCTTGGCGTGTCAATCTTACGGATAGGGATACGCTCGAGGCTGGTAAAGGGAAGGCAGCAGGCGCACGGGTGAGCCGCGCGGATCCCCGGGGTGCGGCGTGCGCCCCGGCAAGCAGGGGTGGAGGAAGAGGCGAGGAGAGGCAGGAGAAGTAGGATGAAGGGGCCCTGGGACACACAAACAAATACACACAAATAAACAACATCCCAATAGTTTCACATATTTTATGGGATTGTGTCTTCCCCCCCCCACTTCCCATATTTTCCGATAGATTCGGGGGAATCGTCGATTAATTGTGTCTGTGTGTTTTTTCCCCTCCTGATAGGAGGACGTAGGAATAGGAGGGGCAGGAGCAGGCAGGAGGAGGCAGTTGCAGACACGATGCCCAGACAAGCTTCGCTGATCAGGGAAATGCAGCAGCACGCAATGCAACAACAGAGAGGGAGAACCATTGCATGAAAAAGGTGAGGAGGCAGGAGGAAACGGAAGATGCACAAGAGCGGGGAAGGAGGACAAGAAGGAGGAAACGGAGGAAGGGGGAGGAGGACGAGAAGCAGGAAGAGGAAGGTTGGGAGAGGAAGGAGGATACGACGACGACGGGAATCAATCATCGAGGCCTTTGCGAGTTTTTCGCTCTGGGTGCCTATTGGAAGCCCCTTGGGGTCATCTCGGGGCCATCATGAAGCCCTCTTGGGGCCATTTCGGAAGCCTCTTGGTTCCTCTCGGGGCTCTCTCGGGACTCTCTTGGGCCCTCCTGGAGGTCTCTTGGGCCCCTCTTGGGACCATCTTTGAAGCCGTCGGTCAAGCAAGAGGGAGGTCCCAAACAGGGCCCCCCCCCGCTCTTGAACCCCCCAAGTCGCCTCCTGGGGTTCTCTTTGGACGCTCTTGGGGCGCGCTTGGACGCTCATGGGAAAGGGGAGGGGGAGGGGGCCCCCCTTCCAAAAGGGGAAGAAAGGGGTTGGAAGAAATAACTCGTCAAACCACCCACGCTCTAATACTGCCCCGGATTCCAAAAGCCTAGACCCTATGTACCCTATACCCTAAACCCTAAACCCTGAGACACAGCCGAGCCGACGCACGTTGTTTGGGGATTGCTCCCGCGGGCGGCATCAACTGCTGGACAACGCTGCACGACCTTCGGGCCAGGCTAAAAGGGGGATAACAAAGGGGGGTTTGAGAATCAGCTCACGTAGCTGATTTTCCCGGCACCTCCCGGCGCCGGGAGGCGGCTATGTATCGAGGCATGGCTCCTCGCTGGGGCCGAAACCAGCTGCGTGCAACAAATTTCGTAACCCCCCCTTTCCCAATCCCCCCCTATCGTCCGGTCCGATACTCCTAATCCTACTCTTGTTTCTCCTCCTCCTCCTCCTCCTCCTCCTCCTCCTCCTCCTCCTCCTCCTCTTCCCGCCGTTCTCCTACTCCTGCTGCTCAGCCTGCTGCTGCTCCCTCCTCCCTATCACCACGATTATCATCGCCCTCGTCCTCAACCACACCTTCCGACCAGCCATAGCCGGGGGAGCTGTGGTCCTTACCCCCCCTGGGGAACCCATCGCCTCGACTCTCGAGAGGGGTGTCGAAATCGATGGGTCCCCCAGGGGGGGTAAGGACCACAGCTCCCCCAGTTGTGGCTGGCCTGACCTGCGTCGTCCCTCCCGCCTGCTTGAAGTCGATCTGGGTCTTCTGGAACTCCTGCAGCAGTTGCTGGTGCTTCCTGGAAGGCAGATCCCCTTCTATTCAGCAGACGACGGGCCTGAAGCTGGCGACGAGCTGGCGACGACAGTCTGCAGGACGTCAAACAGCAAGCGCTGGCGACGAGAGGAGGAGCAGGGCAGAAGGGCGAGGAGGAGTGAGGCAGGGGAGGGCGAATCGGGGATGCTGGGGAGGAGGGGGAGAAGGAGGAGAAGGACGAAGAGGAAGAGGAGGAGGAGGAGGAGGAGCAGTGCAGCAGAGTGTCCTTGAGCTGGGTCCACGGGAGCGCCACCGAAAGGAAGGCCAAGCAGAGATGAGGATGCCGGCCGTAGAGATGCAGAGGCCTCCTAGATGGGGTCCGAGTGGATGTGGCCGGAGGGGGGGCGACGAGGGAGGGGGGCGACGAGGGAGGGGGGCGACGAGGGAGGGGGGGCGACGAGGGGGGGGGGAGGGGGCGTTCGACGAGGGAGGGGGGGGAGGAGGAGAGAGGAAGGCAGAGGGATGCGGGACCCGCAGCCGAAGAGCCCTCCGCCGCCCATGCCCCTTGCAAGGCCCACCCCGACGCTGCCGGCCACCAGGTCAGCACAACATCACAGCCTGCGGATCACGCAGCGGTCGCAAGGCAGCGGCCGTCCACACGACTGCCAGCAAGGAGGAGGATACAGTCGGGGCGTTGACCTAAGGAACCCTGAATAAGGAACGAGGCCCCTTTTTTCCATAAGTTGAACTTCGATTTCCCATCGAAACATAAGGAAACCCTGAGGCAAGCTGTGAAACAATTAAGGAACACGGAGCCCCTCCACAACGAAAAGGGCTCCTTCTTCAGCACACCGACTGCAGGGCAGGGCGGCCAGGATGAGAAGGTCAGGAGCTGGAGCAGGAGGACGGGCAGGCTGCTCATGACAGAGGAGTGGCGGATGGAACAGCATATGAAGAGCGGGAAAAGAACGAGGAGGATGACGAGGAGGGAGGGAATGCGTGGCGGCTCAGCGCTCCCCAGTCGGGATTCCTGGCCATGGCCAGCTGCATGTTAGCGCGGATCTTCCCTTGAGCGCCACCTGGATGCTGCGCCTCCTGGGAGGAGGGAGGTGGGGGAGGAGCAGGAGGAGGGTTGAGGAAGAAAGAGGAGGGGAAAGGGGGCATGAGGAGGAGGGTACAAGGGCGAGAGAGAACAGGAGGGAGGGGCGAGAGGGAACAGGGCGAGAGGGGAAAGAGGAGGGTTGAGGGAGAAAGAGGAGGGGGGAGGAGGGGCGAGGTGAGGGGGGAGGACGGAGAAGAAGGGGAGAAGGGAACAGGGAGGAGAAGCCTGCGAATTGGGGAGGAGGGGAGGCGAGGAGGAGGAGGAGGAAAACGGAGGGAGAAGAGAGGACCGAGCAGGGAGGACGGGGGCAGGGGTGAGAGGCAGGGCAGCGAGGACGAGGACGAGCGGGAGGAAGACGCAGCACAAGAGAACGGCGAAGGCCGACGCCGCCGCCGCCGCCCCCGCCGCGCGCTGGGGCGTGGAGCCTGCCGCGCCCCCACAACCGACGAGCGGCGATTGCGTATCTGTATCCGCGCCCTCGCGGTCTGGTCTGGGGCGCGATCCAGCAGATGCTGGAAGAAGAACAAGCAGCGCCATAAAACATAGAAACCGTTGGCGCTCCGCGCGGGTGTCTTGGATCTGCGCTGGGCCCCGTTCCCTGGCGCGCGGAACGCGCCAGGGGACGGCGCCCGAGGCGCCGCTGGGGGGGGGGGCAGCGCGGATCCAAGATATCCGCGTGGAGTGACAACATACATCGTGGCGGCCATGCGGTTGTTCAACTGAAAAAGAATATGACCCAAGAAACGTGCAAACCGATTGAGATATTCATCACGATGCGGTTGCGAACGGGCACAGCCCCTTTCGGGATGACTAAATGCCACGCCTGCCTTGTCGCGGCGAGCAAGCGGCTCAAGAGAGAAACGTCTGTCCCGCACAACGGTCCGACCGCCACAATCTGGGCGCGAACGACCAGGTGTGTTGTTCCCTGGCGGTTCCTTCTCAGGGTGCCCGAGTGGTACCCGAAACATTTTCAAACAAAAACTTGCCAAACGAAGAAACAGCCTGGAACGTTCTTACAATGAGATCGCGAACGGACGCGTGTCCGACCCCCTGGCGATTGTTCCTCGGGGCGCCCAAATGCCACGCACTCGCGCGTGTGTCAAAACATAAGGGTGTGTTCCACCAAATGACCATTCCCAACCGGCACCTCCTTGGGGTACCGTACTGCTACGTCTGCTACATCTCGGTGATCCTACTGCCGCGCATGAACGCATCAAGGTACGATTTGTCGAAATATGGCTTACTGTGGGGGCGAATGAATCTGAACGACTACGTGCGAGAATGCTGTAAGTGAGTCCACGTCGGGTGTGCGTGTCAGCGGGTTTGCTTGCGAACGTGTCAGGGTGTCATTGGACCTGCCGCGCGTATGACGTGTGCGTGAGGACGTCGAGGGGCGAGGGGGCGGGAGGGCGAGATGCGGATGTGTCAGATGCGGATGTGACAACAGGCGTACATCCAGCAATGCTCAAACAACTACGCTGAGGAGGGGGCGCGATTACGACGGCAGCGGCTGGGGCTGAAAAGAGCGGCGCGTGGAACAAACTAGGAGGACGACGAAAACCGGTCGACCGACAAACCCGCCACGCAGCCACACACCCAAACAACACACCCAACCAAACGGCCACACGTCGCGGCATTGCCGCTTGAGACTCCGCCGCATCGCGGGCGCCATGACAAGAGAAGGGCGCACATAGCGTCGGGGCTGATGAAGGGAGGAGGAGGAGGAGGAGAAGGAGGAGGAGGAAGAGGAGGAAGAGGAGGAGGAGGAGGAGGAGGAGGAGGAGGAGGTGGAGGAGGAGGAGGAGGAGGAGGAGGAGGGGAGGAGGAGGAGGAGGAGGAGAGAGGAGGAGGAGGGAGGAGGAGGAGGAGGAGGAGGAGGAGGAGGAGGAGGGGGCGCTGTGCACGGCCTCCCCGCCCCCCTCGGCCGCCGGAGCCTGGGTCGAAGGGGCGAGGAAGGAACGACGGAGTGCCGTCCAGCTCCCGGGCGCGCTCGCGACGGCAGCAGCTGGGGCTGGAGGAAGCGACACAGGAAACAAACTAGGACGATGATAGGGGAACGAAGAATGACATAAACACAAAAACTCTGAGGTCCGCGCGGATTTCTCGGATCCGCGCTGGACCCCCCTGGCGGCGCCTCCGGCGCCGCCCCTGGCGCGCTCCGCGCGCCAGGGAGGGGGGTCCAGCGCCGATCCGAGAAATCCGCGCGGACCTCCGAATTTTTATGTTTATGTCATTTTTGATTCCCCTAAGCAAAACCCGTTCAACCGACAAACCCGCCACGCAGCCAAACACCCAATCAACAAACCCAACCAAACAGCCAAACGTCACGGCGCTGCCGCTCGAGACTTCCTCGCATTGCGGGCGCCATGACAGAGTGAAGGCGCGCGCAATAGCGGGGCCGATGAAGGAGAGGGCGGGGGTGAGAAGAATCCGGGAAAAGAGGAACAACTGAAAATGCCCCGCCCCCCCCCCCCCCGCAAAGCAGGGGCGCCATTGAAAGCCTCCCCGCCTCATTCGGCCGCCGGGGCCTGTATCGAAGGGGCGAAGAGGGACAAACGGAGCGCCGCCCAACGCCCGTGCGCAAACAGAGAGCGAAGCGGGGCGGGGGAGCGGGGCAAGAAAGAATGGCTCGCAAGAGGAAAGGGAAGGAGAGGAAAGGAACGCGCTGCAAAGCACCACCGCGCGGCCCGCGCTGCACCTGGAGCGCAGCGCGGACCAGCCCGCCGCGAGCAAGGCCTGGCGGACGAGCCGCTGCTAACTATAGCGCGCCCCGACTACTATAAACGACCCGCCAAATCCGCGCGGCAACGGAGAGGCGGAGAAACAACAGAGAACGCACGGGGAAAAAGAGGACCCAAGCGACAAACTGGAAAACGCCGAAGAAGAGAACAAAAATCGGAAACGGGACAGACTGCAAAAGTCCGATCCTAGCCCGCGTGCAGGTGACGCCCTTGTCGAAAGAGCTCGGGGCACGCTGACTGGGGGCGACGCCTGCGCGTGGACTGTGGCGCGCGCGGGACGCGGGAGCTGCAAGCGCCAGGTGGACCGCAGGAGCTACCCGAAATGCAAGGGCCGCATGATCCACATGTTACCAGTCTGGAACATATCCCTATCCCTATGCTGGGCACCTCCACATCACGATGCCAATCTTAGGGATTCCCGTATTTTTTGAGGGCGAATCCCTAAGATTGCCATCGCCTTTTGGCGTGTCAATCTTAGGGATAGGGATACGTTCGGGGCTGGTAAACATGGACCGCGCGATCTGCATGGCATGGGGGGGCGGGGGGCCGCGTCGGACTGGCGAGGCCGCATGGGCCGCACGAAGCGCACAGGCGCCCCCTGCGAGAGGGCTGGGGGAGACGTGCGGGCAGCGGGAAAGAGCCCTGGAACACACACACACACACACACACACACACACACACACGCACGCACGCACGCACGCACGCACGCACGCACGCACGCACGCACGCACGCACACACACACACACACACCCACCCACCCACACACACACACAAATACAAAGAAATAACAGGATCCCCCATGTTCTCCCATATTTCCAAGGATTCTATCTTCCCCCCCACTTCCTATCTTTTCCCATACTTTCTGGGGGGTCGACGATTCATTGTGATTGTGTGTTTTCTTCCCTCCTGACAGCGGGGCGGTGTGCAGGTCTGGACACGCGGCACGAGAGCGCGCGGCGTCGCGCCGACGCCGGGCCTGCCCCGCTCGCCCGCCGGGCCCGAGAGGGCGCGGCCCTCGCAGTGCGCGCTGGCTGCCGCCATCTCCCGCGCCTCGCGCGGGCGACGCCGCGCGGAGTCGGAGCGACGCTCCAGCGCGGGCTCGACGTGCCCGCCGACCTCGGCACCGGCGAGAAGACGCCCGACTCGCAGTTGACCAACCCTAGCCCGTCATTGAGGGTCAGCGCAGGGCGGCGCACGTTGCGAAGGAGCCTCGATTGGACAGCGCGCGGCCCACGCAAACTTCGCGTCCGCCGTCTCCTTGTGCCGCGGGATGCCCTCGCAAGGACTGCAACGCCGAAAAAACCTTCCCGAACGTGACCGAGACGCCACGGGACTTGCTCGCGCGCGTTCCTCACCCTACCCCCCCCCGCGGGGTATCGCGCCGCGACGCGGCAGGGACTGACGCGTCGCGTCCGCACCCGCCTGCCACTTCCGCCCGCCCGGCGTCGCTGCGACGCCTGTGCTGCGGGACGGGAAAATTACCACAGCCACTGCTTCTTATTTGCACCGCCTTCCAGCCGGCCGAAAAAGAAGCAGTGGTTGTGGTCATTTCCCTGGTGCCAAGCTCAACGAAAATGACCACAACCACTGCCTTGTTTCTGCGGGCTGGAAGGCGGCAACAAAAGAAAAGCAGTGACTGTGGTCGTTTTCACGCCCCGTATGTGCTGCGCCGCTCGCGGTTGCTGTCCCCGACCCGCGTGCGACGGCTAAGCGCCAAAGTGTTGCAGCCTGCCGCTTGCACGGGGCGCGCCCCGCACCAGGGGGGGCCCAAGCTCAGGAGGCCCTCGGCCCCCCGCGAGCAGCCGAGAGCGAAAGCGTCGACATGGCGCGCTGCCGGGCAAAAGCCGCAAAGCTTGGCGCCGCGGCCCGCCAGGCCTCGAGCAGAGCGCGACGCCATATACATGCATATCTATACACATATATATATATATATATATATATATATATTCAAATGTATAGAACAGGTCTATACATAATCCGCTACATGTGTATATAGGTACATGTATAATTGTGTAGATATACATATATATATACAGTTGCACTTAATGTTATGTTGTTCTCTATCTCTACATATAGTTTATTGTTATCTCTGTATATATAAAGAATTATATATGTATATACAGATATACATAGATGTGACTACAGCTATGTATGTATATATGTACATGTAATTATATATTTGCTTGTATATATAATAATAATAATAATAATACTACGAATAATAATAATAATAATAATAATAATATAGGGC